GTGTGTGTGTGTGATTCAGAAGTATAGAAGTATAGCTCAGAAGCAAAGCCCATGCTTAGCCTGTACCAGGCCTTGGGTTTGAAAGGAAGAAAAGAGCAAATGGATTCAGGGAACAGTAGAAAGGAAGTTTCCCATTAAATTGCAACTTCTATTCCTCAAACAGCAGCACAAGTCCTCTCCATAGACTCTCCAGCAGCAATGTCAGTGAAAGGATAAAAATAAACACTGTGAGGACAAACCCACACCCCTTAGCTTATATTCTGAGTAGTGTGTAGACCCAGACAAAAACACAGGAAAGGTGAAACTTGTTTGAAGGTCGGCCAAGCCACTCTCTCCTTCTACAGCTGTCACATGCATCACTACTTTCTCGGGCTGTCAGGTGCGGTAGAAAGCGCTGGGGAATATAGCTTGACTGGTGGATCAGTCCCATGGAGAACTTCAGCTCTTACAGCTCTGTATGATGTCAGTCTTCATCTCTCCACTCCCTCGATAGTTGGGGGTTTTGTATAGAAAACTATTATTTCTATTTAACTATTTAAAGCACTGTTTACTTGTTTTAATTAGGTTTTGGCTTAGCTTAAGATGCCACAATTGAAAATTTTCAACTATAAGGGCAAATCTTAAGGCGACAAGTATAGTAAGGCAAGAAGATGGTAATGATGGTTGCACTGGGCTTAGTGAAAGAAACCCCAGTGTCACATAGGTCCTTGTTCATAAGTCACATGTCTAGAGTGGCACAAAGCTCTAGACATCCCTAGATGGTCAAAGTAAATGAACCACACACTTGGGGTCGTGAGGGCAGCATGTTGGTATCACTGTGGAGGCTTTTCAAGGAGAAGGGAGAATAGCAAAGTGTCAGGACACAGAGGGTTTCCCTGTGATCCTCTGTTTGTCTCTTTGACATGATACCCTACTGCAGCTACTCAGGAGTCAAAGTTAGCAACAGATCACCAAGAGTACAATTCCTTAAAACAATACCTTTACTTACGTGTGTGTGTGTGTGTGTGTGTGTGTGTGTGTGTGTGTGTGTGTGGTTTCACACTCTCAAACACACCCTGGTGCATCTGCTGTGGAGCGGGAGCGGGGATCACAGGACAAACTGCAGGCGTCACCTCTCTCCTTCTACCATGTAGGTCTCTAGGGCAAACTCACACTGTCAGACTACTGCAGTAGGTATTTTGACTCTCCAAACTACTGCTCTTTATGCAAACTGATCTACACAAATACATTTGAATCCAGCCTTCTTGCCTAGGACTGCCTCAGTCATGCTTGTCTACAGTCTATCTTTTCTCATATATGCATGGGTTTGTCTCTTCACATCACCTCCCTCAGTTATACTGGGAAATTTCCAGGAAGCCTAAGGCAGGTGTGAGGGAGCTGCTGGAACCCTCTTGCCTTGTGCCTGCCAGCATCTAGGAACACCTCTGTACCTCTGCAATCGCTTTGGAACCAGGGGAAGTTTGCATCAGAAATCTGTGTGTCAGGTATGTATAAAAAGATATCACTCTCCTGATCTGTCACTTTGTAACAATGAACACAACAAAATTTTCAAAAAGGTTGATGTTTAGAAAAGAAATACCGTATATGCCTGCTTTTTCCTGGGTTTTATCATGGTTTGGGATGTTTTAGTCTATAGCATTCACTTATTCCCTATCTCTCTTTGAGGCAGTTTCAAGGATGGATCAGTTCCACAAAAAAAGGACTTCAGTAACCACAAAGTAACATTCCAAAAGTCCCTACACTACCCCAAAGTCAGGCTGCCTGAACAGTCAGGGCAGGGTTTGTCCACCCTTGCAGTGCCGATGGTCCTGAGCCTAGCACATGGGAAGCATTCACCAATAACCACACAATGGAGAAAGAAGTCCTAGTTGTCAGGAGCCTCAATAGCCACAGGGAAGGCACTTAACATCTGTCTTTCTATTCATTATAACGCTAGCCTTATACAATAGGCATTAAAACAGGATGCTTACAGATGAGGAAATCAAGGTTTGAAGAATTTTACTGGCCTGGTTAGGTCACAGTTAGGAAGAAACAGTGACTCACATTCAAATCTTTTTCTTCTACAGTCTGTGGAACACACCACGCCTTCATCCCAATCTATAACAAACTATAAATTGATGTGTAAGCTTTTTTTGTAAGTTACCAAGTTGGACTGTTTTGTTATAGGACTCCAGTATCTCCAATAATTGACAACTGGGATTACCCAGAATCAAAAACTCGTTCACAGCAAGAAAATCATTGGGAGAATGAACAGGCAGTCTAAAGAATGAGAAAAAAATTTGTAAACTATATTTCTGCAAGGGCTAATGTCTAGAATATATAAAGAACTGCAAAAGTAAAATACCACAAAAACATGTCAATCGATAAATGGGCTATGGAATTAAGCATACAGTTCTTAAAAGAAGAAATACCAATGGCCAATACATACTTCCCAAAAGTAATCTTAATCTTTATCCACCAGGGAAATGAAAATTAAAACTACACTGGTTATCAATGGGAAGTGAATTACAACAAACACTGGCTAGTATGTGGGGAAAAGAAACACTTACTGACTGTTGGAAGGAGTGTAAACTGGTATAGCCGCTATGGAAATCAGAGTGGAGGCTTCTCAAAAAGCTAAAATTAGAAGTACCGTGTGACCCAGCTACCCTACTCCTGGGCATACGCTGGAAAGATGCTATATCCATCCACAGAGAGACTTTTACATCCTTGTTCATTATTGCTCTATCTACAATAGCCGAGATTCTACCAATATATGAATAGATAATGAAAACTGATACATACAGACAACAGGATTTTATTCAGTTGTTTAAAAAATTAAAAATTCACAGGAGGTGCTAGGAAGATGGCTCCATGATTAAGAGCACAAACTGTTCTTGCACAGGAGCCAAGTTTATTTCCCAGCCTCTATGTCAGGTGGGTCTCAATCACCTATGATGTTATCTATCCCTGAGCAATCCAGTACACCCTTTTGTCCTCTGTGGGCACCTACACTTACATGTATATACCTTCATACAGATGCATGAACAAGAACATAATTTGAAATAAAATACATCATAAAAAGAAAATAAATGTACAGGCAATGGATAAAAACTGATATTACATTAAGTAATGGGACCAGATTCAGAAAGACAAATACTTTATGTTCCCTCAGATGCAGAGCCTAGCTTTAGTTTTTACTTGCATAAGGTTATTTATGTGGGGCTGTGTATTGACAGAAGGCTCAGAAAATTAAAAGAGGTTCGTGGTAGAGGAAAAAGACCAAAGGTGGAGTAAGGACAATAGAACGTATGTGATATGAAAGGGGAAGGTGGAATTTCTGAGAGTAGAAAGGGACAGTGCAGGGTTAGCAGGGAGATGGCAGAAGGGAGCCAACTAAAGTTAAGTACTCATAAAACAGCATAAGGAAAACTTTTACTTTTCATGATGGTTTAAAAGTTGTTTTTTTTTTATGATTCCAAGTTGGAATGTTGAAATGTTACCGTGGGCTTTGGAAACTCCTCCCCATGTTAAGGAAACTGGAAGGCTAATAGAATGGGGAAAGAAAAACCCAGCATTTTGATATATAAAGGGGCAGGAAACAGTTATGCAAGTCTAAAACACACTGAAGCTAAACCTTCTCATGCAGAAGGTGCCTATACTTTCCATGTCCTTGAGTTAAATGAGAAAATATATATACATACAGCAAGAACTGAATAATGAATAGAGATTGTAGCTAACACAACTAACCAATGTTTAGAACTAATAAATTATCGATAATAAATATAGACATTACCAATAATTATCTTCAAAATCGTGTTAGTCAATTTGATTGTTATTTTAGAAATATTTTATATAGTTATTACCCATATATGTGTCTATTATATCCTTAAAGAATTTTTCTTTTGGCTAGCAATCCTATGGATGACATTATAATTGAAATTCCCCTCTTGATGTAAAAAAAAATAAAAATAAAAAATAAATAAAGGCTCATAGGAGGATGAAAAGTAAGGAAGTTGAAAGTTTGGACTCTTAGACATGGTAGAGAAAGCACATAAAAGGCTCGGGATGTAGCTCAATGGTACATCATTTACTCAGTGGTACCTCATTTACTCAGCTTACACAAGGGCTCCTTACCCAGCAAGACAGACACGCATGCAAACACGCGCGCACACACACACACACACAGAGAGAGAGAGAGAGAGAGAGAGAGAGAGAGAGAGAGAGAGAGAGAGAGAGAGAGAGAGAGAGAGAACACTGGACATCAATGGTTAGTGAATAAATTAATATCCATCACCTAGAAAGTCCCAAAGGTTTCCTTCCCTAGAGTTGTATAAAGATTTTCAGGAGATGATAATTTTTTTCACAAGAACTTCTTTCATAAGACTTTGTTCAATTTAGGAAAAATAAAGTTTTGCTTTGTTTTGTTGCATGAGGCTAACTGCTTTAACCAATCAGCTTATTTCTTTGGGGCCTGACAAGAAGTATTACATCCCTAAAGACAGGACTAACTCAAGAAGTTAGTCACTGAGCAAGTCCTACCTGCTCTAAGCTGAAGGCACTGTGACGTGGTCTGAAATGGACTTAACAGGCCACCCAACCGGCACAGAGACCACACTGCTCATGTCATCTTGAGTCAGGTTTTCCTAATAACCAAAACCCAACTGTGTGTGAGTTCAGTGCCCAAGCCACTCTCCCCAGCCCTCTAATGGATCAGCTGCAACTTACGCGGCAGCAGCACAGTGAGAGAGCCAGGAAGGAGCTCAGGTCCGGACTCCACATTTCCTCTCTGCTGCTAAGCACTGCTTAAGTCAAAGTCTTCAAGTAGGAGGCTCCAAACGCCGTCCTGAGTCTCTCCTTCAACATCACAGCCCAAACAGGCATTTTCATTCTTTCTCTCTCCCCTCCCTACACTAAAACCACACACACACACACACACACACACACACACACACACACACACCAAGTCAAGAGACCTTTGTATGGAAGTTCCTGAATATCATCACAGAGCTGATGCCTACCTTCCCAAAGCGGCAGGCTGCACACGATGTTCCTCGCCTATGAGGAGCAACCGGAGAGGCTTCCCCTCCCAGCCGACTCTGTTCTCATCAGAGAGCAACACACCTCTTCTGTACGTAAGCCCTGAAATTCTTGCGGAGACCCACCCTCGAAAGTTGCAAGTCAAGATTTCTGACTGAGGGCACTTAGTCACGTGAGGCAAAACTACTGGATGGCACCTTCAGGTTCTTCCAGATGGGATGCCACTTCCTGTTTCACCACTGGGAAAAGCGAAAACAGGAGTCTGCTCAGACACTGAATTACAAATGCATCTGTTGCCTCATCGGCACTGCCTTTGGTGTACACAGGCGTTAGTCAGCCTTGGAACAAGGTGCTTTTGCTGTTGGCAGTGAAGAAAAGAGGCTTAGGTGGCGGCCACAAAGAAACTCCAAACACTGTAGACAGGTTGCACGCTGCCGTGAGCTGGTTTGGCAACGATAGTACACTCTAGCAGCGGCAAATCTTCGCAGGGCTTTTGGATAACTAGACCATCCCCACTAACACGACTGCACCACCAGGCTCTTTTCCAAGAAGTAGCCTCAGACGCAGAATGTGGTGTCTCTCTTGTTGCCCAGAGATGGGGCAAAATCTATTTAAAGAAATATGATAGCAATCAAAAAACCAAATAAAATAGTCTGTCAAGATTTCTTTTTAGAACAGTTGGATGTAATTCACCTTGTTTTTGTTTCACCACAAAGAAAGAGGGGCCTATTAACAGGCGTGAGGACAGGACCGTTCTATGTTTGAAGTGCTTCAAAAGGGGTGTGACACATGATGGGGTTTATTTGAGGTGGCGGACTGGACCGAGGGGCAGAAGATGAGCTCTCTCCCAGGGTGGGTTATTTAAAGGTGCAAAGCTCCAGCAAGTTGATTCGGTACCCTGGAAAACCAGCGATAGAATCCTTGGCACTGCTGCCAATACCACCTCTGCCAACAGATCCCAAGGGCGCCTCATCAGCTGCCAGCAGATGAGAGAGACTTGCTTTTTTTTTTTCTGTCAGCTGCTAAATGACTAAAAAACTTTAAAAGACTGGAAGTGGAGAAAAGAAGATGCCAGTTTCAAACAAGAGAAACCAAAAAGCCTCTTGAACTTTCCTACTGGATTTAGTTCACAGGAAGAGGTCGACAAAGGCTTTTCATTCAGCACTTGCTCACTCACTTCTTCCCATTTGCAGACTGTTTTCTATTAAAACGTTAATGAATTTAGCACGTCATTAACATTTTGCTGTTGGCACTGAAGGAAAGAGGCTTAGGCGGCTGAGGAGTGGGGTGGCTTATGCCTGTAATCCCAGCATGTCAAAGGCAAGGGGATCCACTACATTCAAGGCCAGCCTGAGTGACTTAGTAAATTTCAGGCCAGCCTGGGCTACAAAGTGAGACCCTGTTTTGCAAAACCAAAGCAAACATCTTTAGATAGGAGGGCTGAACTCCAGAAGCTCACAGAAGGCTGATGGTTAGTTCAGGCCTTCCTCGCCTATCCTCGGGAGACCGCTGTGGCCTTGCCTGGCTCTCTGGTATGCCTTCCCAGACCTAGTCCAACTTCCCATTGCTCACCTTCCTAATGAAAGGATTTTTTCTGTCCTTCGCTTTCCCAGAACCGAGGAGAAACGGATGTTTGGGCTGCTCTTCCCGCCCTTTCTCCCCTCGCCAGCAGTCCTGCTGCGCTTAGGCCTGTATTTCCACACCAGCTGCCCGAATGGACTGCTTCTACGTTTGCTTCCCATTATATTAGGGAGCCTCAAGGGCCAGGCCTTCCAGCCCTCCTGTTCCTGGGGCTGAGTTCAGTGCCAAGCTGGTCAAACCACCCAGGAGTAGTCATCTCACACAACTTCCCTAAACATTATTCTGCATTCTTCCCCCAGTTAAACAAACCAAAAGAGAATCACATTTTTTGTCCCTTCTATAATAAAATCCATACTATCTCCTAATAAAATATAATGTCCACATCAAACAGGAGTTATTGCACATACTCCAATACGTCCTATATAACGAAAAGAATCTCATTAGTGCAATTGTCTTTGGGGATGGCGCTTGGGATTGAACCCAGGGACTTGTACATGTCTCCTGCTTTTTTGCGCCACTGTCTTCTTCAGGAACACATTGCACACTCTATACTAGAGGGAGGGAGCAAGAGGACTGTGAGGGTCTGTTAATGGTGGCCTCTCTAGAGCTGAAGAGCTGTGTGTCATTGTTCTTTGTTGGGAAGCTCCTCCCGGACGATGACCCCAGGGAAGGCCGCCACAAACAAGAATGGGAGCCTCTAAAAGGATCTCAGGGGAATCCTTTCTTTATCTAATTTCTCACCTGTGCCCTACTACAGTGTATTTAATGGTTAATTGACTGTTTTGGGGTTTTTGTTTGTTTTTTTTTTGAGACAGGGTTTCTCTGTGTATCATCTTTGGCTATCCTGGCACTTGCTCTGTAGACCAGGCTGGTATCAAACTCACAGAGATCTGCCTGCCTCTGCCTCCTGAGTGCTGGGATTAAAGGCATGCCACCATGCCCAGTTAGTTGACTGCTAATAGAAGAGAAAAATTCCAAGGAATGACAGACAGAACAAGGTACCCCATGGGCTTAAGTGATACTCAACTCTCTCGTGAACTTTAAGAGTGGGTGAAACCATTAGATCCAGGTTGTTTTGAATTTTCAGTAAAAGTTTTTAAGCCGTGAAGTCAAGCAGAATATTAATGATTTTGAACACACTCTAGAGAGAAACTATCATACCTCTGACAAATGAATTGGAGACTGAAGCAGAATTCTAGTGGGTCAGTTTTATGGGAACAAAAGTGAGATACATTACAAAACTGCCTAATTCTTATACAGAGAACAAGCCAATGGTCAAATGTCAACTTAGTTATTAGTATGGCAAGTACCTACCTAGTCCTTTTACATCATGAAGTAGGGAATGAAATAGGTGAGCCAGAGGCAAACCCAATTAAGATTCTGGAGCCGCTCATGAACTCAGAAGAGCAGGATACAGGCAGATGGACTCTGGGACCCATCAGGAAGAGGACAAGATACTGAGCCAAAGGCTCTGCACAGGGCAAAGAGCAGCAGCTTTGAGAAGCAAAAGCAGGAAAAAGCAGACAGGCATGACTGCTACGCTGCAAGAGAAGCTTTGAACCCAGAAAAGAATATGCAAGAAGGAAGGCACCCTTGTTTCCCTGCCAAGAGATGCAATGGAGGCAGCTTCCAACGTGTTCGGAGCTGTCACCGTCAACAAAATTTGTTTTCATATCTTCTTTAATCTTGCCATGTTTTCACTTTTCAAATGCTAAGGTTTGTGCACAGACAAGACTGTAAATCAAAATGACAGAGCCACATGTGTGTGGCTCCTGCAAGATGTAATGAAATGAACCGTTTCACATAACGATATAAGAAATATTTTCATGTTTGTGTGTGTGTGTGTGTGTGTGTGTGTGTGTGTGTAATCAGAAGACAACTTGCACAAGTCAGTGATAAAACTCAGGATATCATGGTTGCTGGCAAGCACCTTTCCTCATTGGATCATCTCACCTAGCCATAGGATTTCCTAAAGGACATGCTTAGACACTTAAATCCCTGAATCAACATCTACACTAACAGACTAGAAAGACTACATCATATGGACACAAACCAGTCACCTCTCCCACTATGATTCACACAAATCCTCGAATGGATTACAGGATTATAAGATCTAAATTTCATCTTTCTCTTCCCATTGTACCCAGTTTCCGCACTTACCCTGGCCTGGGTGTGGAAGGTTCCCTAGCATATAATCCAAGAGGCCACTCTTTGAGGAGAGATTAGCTACAGTTCATGAGGTTCGAGAAAGAAGGCTCTTACCCACTCACCCTCCCTAGGATACCTACCCACCACTATCCTGCACCATTTCCCCCTAAGTTACCTATCCCCATCATCCCCATCTAACTTACTCTTTTCCCAGTTTATTTGTACACTCCCTATGTAAGCTCTAGGAGGACTGGGATTTCTGGCTGTCCTGCCTACTGCTGAGTTCCTGGGGGAAAGGGGTAATTAGAACTATTCCTGGCAGCATTAGAGAGCAATGTCAACATAGTAATTTATTTGTCTGTATACTTTCCCTTTCACCCGTTCCTGTCTACCACAACAGGTATTTGCTTTTTCAAAGATAGCTACTAGACTCTTTCAAAACTCAAAGACATAAATGCACATCATGAAGAGGGCCAGTTCTGCCATGGGTTTGTTAAAAGGTAGGGAGATTTTTCTTCCTTGAAAAATTAAGTCTGTCATATGCTGAAGACTTGAGAGAAATAATTTTTGATATTACTCTGGCACACTCTGTCTGTGATGTTATATGCAAGCCAGACCACATCTTCACACACACAGCCCGTCAATACAACTGTCTCATAAAGGCCAATGTTTGACCAGATGGTCATAGTCACTTGTGCATAAAGCCCTTGGCCTTCCATGGCCATCATGACTGAAGAAGACATGGTTTAACTTGGTTCCTCCAGAAAATTTTGGTTGCTAAGGCCCACTTAGCACAAATTAGAAAAGGGTCTTGTTTTTATTAATTGTGTGACTAAAGATAAACTGCTTAGTCCCTCATATCTTCATGTTTTTCAACTGGAAAACAGTATCAATAGCAATATCATTAGTCCTTTAAAACATTAGTCAGCCCACATAAAATAAGCTCCTAAATAGTAATGTATGAATGGAAGCTGTGATTATAGCTATCGTGAGGATTGGTATATTAATTTATAGACTTTTATTCTTCTGTTATATTGTAACAGGTTTTAGTTTGTGCATCTAGAATTAGTTATCCAATTAAATCTTGAGTGTAACAACTGCGTAAAGTCTCCATGTTGCAACCACTTCTGGTCTCTGAATGTCATATTCATTAGGTAATTCCCTTGGCTAATAGTCGTTAGGTTCATACTATGTGCCAGACACATCAAAAGGAGCTACAGATATCAAAGAATAAAAAAATAGAGTATGACTACCAAACCCGACAGACACGTATTTCCAGATGAGCAAAATTAACCACAGGTCTTTTACACACAGAGATGTGGAAGAAAATGTACATATGTATTTGTGGGATGCATATATTGTTATGCTCCAACACAGCTGAGAAGATAG